GCGCCCTGAGGCGGCGCGGCGAGAGCCCAGTCCCAGAGGCCCGGGCGAGCCTCATACCATTCCTCGCCCCAGTGCAGGGTGCTGTGAGCTTAGACGTAGGTGCAGGGCATGGCACTCGGCTTGGCCCGTGGTGGACGGTGTTTTTGCCGTCGTGAACCCAAACGCCCCAAACCTTGACCGTTTCCCCACGCGTGTTGTGGACGCGGCGCCCCGCGGAGGCGGTGACCCTTTGACCGCTACCACCTGAGGCTTTTGGGCCCGGGGCCGAGCGAGTAGGTTAGTCCGGCTGGGGGAACTGGAACCCGAAGTCAGATTCTTTCAGTTCCGCGCGTCCGTCCCCGCCCCGGTCCCGTCCCCGTCCGATTCCCAGCCTTTGCCGAATGCCTGTTACTCTTAGTTCTGAACAAAATGCAAACCCAAAGAATGTGTGTTTAGCGCCTACTGTGTGTCAAGTGTCGCCTTTCTTTTTTTTTTTTTTTTGAGATGGAGTCTCGCTCTGTTGTGGAGTGCAGTGTCTCAATCTGGGCCAACTGCAACCTCCGCCTCCCGGGTTCAAGCGATTCTCCTGCCTCAGCCTCCCGAGTAGCCGGGACTACAGGCACGTGCCACCATGCCCGGCTCATTTTTTGTATTTTTAGTAGTAGAAACGGGGTTTCACCGTGTTGGCCGGGATGGTCTCGAACTCCAGACCTCATGCTCCGCCCGCCTCGGCCTCCCATTGTGCTGGGATTATAGGCGTCAGCCACCGAGCCTTTCTAAAGCAGTCTAGTAACCCCTAGTCTTTTGTAGGCTTTGCTAGGCTTCATTTTACCGATGTGGGGAAGTTGGGAGCTCTGAAATTGAGTTGACTTGCTCGTGAACTTGAATTTCACCTCAGGTGTTCAGACCTCCGACCCCACTTTGGAAAAAACCCGCCAAGGGCCACCCTTTGGGAACTCGAGGGATTGAGTGGTCAAGGCTCGACCCAAAGTTTATGGAGAGAAGGAAATGCTCTGATTAAGGTTGTGCTTTACATATTAACGCCTTGTTGAAAGACTTTTTGCCCTGCAGTGATCTAGCCTGTGCTCTTTTGAACTCACTTAGAGAAGTTGCTGTATAATTTGTGGATTTGTAATTCACGGAAAACTTGGATTTTTTTACGTGTGTACTAGCATCGTTTCAAGCACATTTTTTTGCTGCTTGGAATCGAAACAAGATTTCTTGTTTTTTTTTTTTTGTTGTTTGTTTGTTTGTTTGTTTGTTTTTGAGACGGAGTCTCGCTCTGTCAACCAGGCTGCTAGCTCACTGCAAGCTCCCCCTCCCGGGTTCACGCCATTCTCTTGCCTCAGCCTCCCGAGTAGCTGGGACTACAGGCGCCCGCCACCACGTCCGGCTAATTTTTTTTGTATTTTAGTAGAGACGGTTTC